GGGTAAATGTCACATTTATCTTAATTTTGATTAAAGCTATAACATTGAAGTTTGACTGGATGCATCCTAGTTTTTCTTCTTAGGCTAGGAAAATGTTAAAAGATTAGAGATTTGTGTTATTTAATTGTTCATTTTAAAATTATGTTAATCAAATTTGTTATTCAAATAATTTGATTGTTGTTTTAATGATGTCATTATAGTATGGTATCATATATATATATTTTTTTGCTTTTGTTGCTTTGTACATTAAAATAGGATTGCCATCCTCCATTCCCTGGTGACTTTCCAAAATTTACATTTTCCAGTTTCCTATTTAAACACCCAAAACTAAATGAAGAAAGAATAGATTTATCTACAAAGAAAATTCATCTCGTGAATGATTGTAATTTTGAGTTACTAATTCATTAGCATGAAGATTGTCTTATACTTATTTTGACACTATCTCTGTCTCCAATCAAAGTTGTTACTTTTCAATCTGGAACTTGTAGTTTGCATCAAGTGCTTTTTTAGAGGTCTCGAAGGTCCGTTTCCAGCTAGTTGTTATAACAAATTGAAAAAGACAATACCATATATATGTGTGTAGATTCCTTAAATCCAAAGATGTTTCACAAAAAAATATTAGGAATGCTATACTCGTTCCTAATATACTCGTTCAGTTTGCTATTTATATCTCCAAATATGCATAAATTAAGAGATTTTATAGCATTTCAAATAGATTCGTACTTTTAAGTGTATTTAATCGAATGCTCATTTCAAATAAGTCATACTTTTACTTGTATTCAAAGCGTTTCGTAAATAAGTGCAGTTACACTTACACATTCCAATCATTTGCTTCTAAACTTTTTTATATAAAAAAATATATATATAATTGCATTGTCAAGTGTCAACAAATAAATGGTGTAAATTTCAAAAAAAAAAACAAATAAATGGTGTACCCATCGACTAAAATACTATTAATACACTTAATTAAACAGTCAAATTTACCAAATGACTTTTTTTTTTTTGAAAATTACCAAATGACTTCTTGCTTCTTCTTTTTTTCACTGAAAGATTTTTATATTAAACATCCAAAAGTACAAGAAGGATACAACACTGGATAAACTACATACAAAGTCCGAGAGTTTTACGGAAAATCAAATCCCGAAAAATTATTGGGAAATATAGTTCGAACGATTACCGGGAAGCAAAAACCAACGATTACAGATAACTAGAGAACACAACTACCACTAATAGTAGAAGCCTGAAAAAAGCACTTACAAATAGCATAGCAGAAAGAGCAGCAGAGGCGGAACAACGGTGCTCACCAGACGTCATCGAGGTAAGGAGAAACCGCGAATAAAATCCAAATATAACAATTAGCAAAAACGAATAGCCACAAACGGGATTCTAAACTCCAACTTAAAAGGTCTAAATCTAGAATTTTGCATCCCCACAAGAGATTAGCTTTACAAGAACCGACCACGGAAGACCACAGGTGAAAACTGATTATACACTATACTAAAGACGGAGGGCGGAGACTGAACAAAAAAAAACCACCGAAAATTAATAAAGATGTTTTTTTTTTGAATGAAAAATTAATAAAGATGTTAATCGAAGAACAAACCAACCCATACAAACGCTTATGCACACTCAGACCAAGAATCGACGAGGGAACTTAAGGCTCCTAAACCAATAATAGAATACGATACCTAGCATCCCAAGCGGCAAAGCAGAAAACACAACAAGGAACCTAGAAACACAACCAAATGACTTCTTGCTATTCAAAGGAACATAAATTAATTATGCGGGGAAATAAGAAAATATCTAGCAGCACAATTCTTTATAAAATATATATATCTAACGCCTTCTAGATAATAGATATTTGTTATTATCGTTTATACTCAACTCAATTCTCATCAACAACACTCGATAACATATTTCATTATTTGTGATTTTTATAACAAATATTGTCATATAGCTCGAGTCCTCTCCCTGTCACCTATGTCTCTCATTTTTGTTTTTAGGTTTATTTTGTTTTTTCGCCCACAAGACCCCAAAATTAACTAAAAAAATATCTTATAGAGTGGCAAATTCTATCTTTGTATACGAAAATAATTATTACAACTTTCGGTAATTTTTTTCTCTGTCGTAATTTGCTTTTTGTAAATGTGTGATCGTATTCTTTTAGCGTGTTGGAAAAGAAAGTTTGAAAATCATATTGAAACAAAATATC